TACAGTACCAATCAATTGACCCCGGAAGGATGGAGTGTGCGGCTGACGTGGGCAATACCCTATCTTCAAAAACGTTCAGTTCCGCAGTGACCACGAACGTGATAGTACCGCCAGTTGCCACAACACCACCTCTGCTACAATACCTAACTACCAAATTCATGCTCATAGTCTTCTTCTTCTCCGTAGCGTTAGTCCCGCGCAGTCGCAGGGCCCGCTGTCCTAGTCAGTCATCGTCATTCATCCTGTTTAGGGTGTCCTCCGATGTGGCCGTGACTTCACTTAGATCCTTCTTGACGTCTCTCCAACTCTTCTTTGGGGCTTCTCGAGTTCGCTTGATTACGTTTCGTCACCTTTTCTTTGGGTTCCTCGCGGTCGCCTGTCTTGTACTTTGAAAACCATCGCTTTCTTTATCGGATGATACCGTGGCCTCCTTAGCACATGCCCATACCATCGGAGCCGTCGGGGTCGCTCGTTGTTGCTACGCGGGTCTTGGGTTGGTAGGTATCTCAAACTTGGGTAATTAAACTTTTATTATATGTTTTACATTATATACTAAGGAAGGAGGAAAAACGACTGAATCTGTGGAAATCTGTCTTTCTTATATTCAGTGGATAATGGGCGGAGCAAGCTACATGTATATATTCCTCAACACTGATCAGCCAGCAGATAATGATTTCTTCAAGTTACAGAATGAATCATGGGACAAAGTACACTAAAAAGACACCAATAAGTGAGGAATCGACCATGATAATAAAGTACAATCACACCAAAATAATCTAAGATCACAGAGAGTGGTCTCTATAGGCGCTGCTCTCGCATCTTCAGCGGACAGGGGCAGTCCGCATAACCGCCCTGATCCCGTTTCTGACCCTCTACAGCCGCGTCAGCCGCAGGCACACCTCAGCATCCTCACTTCAGCGGAGTGGTTCTACCTTCCGTGGTTCTTGTTTGGGGGCCAACACTCCCTGCTGTAGGCCTCGCCACTGTAAGGTACACTTTCCCTTTGAGCGTTCTGATGCACCTTCAATCGCGATTCCAGTGGAATCCCTCCATTTCATCCATGCAGCGTTGACCCGAGCCTTCAGTGCCTGACCCACACCAACGTCGACTGCCAGATCGCTCCCAAGGTAGCGGAAGTCCTCCACTCTTTCGATGGTCTCACCATCGCCGTCCACAGTCGGCTCTGCACCCTCTTTGGAGTATAAGGACTTGGTTTTCTTGACATTCAGCCGGAGCCCACCTTCTGACACGACTTTCTGCCATTTCTGCCCTCAGTTTGAGGTTCTTCCCTTCTATCAGCTATGGCGACGTCGTCAGCATAGAGAATAGTCTTCACTGGTCCCTCCATGAGGCTCTTCACCATGGCATCTAGCGTTAGGAAAACAGGAAGGGGCTGAGAGCTGATCTTTGGTGCACCCCAACCGTGACGTCCCTCTTTGATCAGATAGTGTGCGGTGGGTATAGTTGTATTAACCCCCTTGTACATGTCCCTCACCAGAGAGATGAGGTCTTACCGGCACGTTCGTTCCATGAGCGACCCCCACAGCACTGCTCGCGGTAGCCGGTCAAAAGAGAGACGTAAAATTCCCGAATTTGGACCTACGTGACGGTTAACCCTGGTTAGTAGTCTGGTGCGGGTTCCTGTAGGCGTCTAGTGTCGTCACTGCTCAGGCCAGCAGATAATGATTTCTCAAGTTACCGAATGAATCATGGGACGTACACTAAAGAGCAGGCCAATAGTGGAGGCATCACGACTCATCGATAAATAAAGTACAATAGCACCAACAATAATCTAAAGATCACAGAGAGTGGTCTCTATAGGCGCTGCTCTCGCGGGACATGGCAGTCGCGTAACGCGCGCCTGATACCAGCGTTTCGTGACACGCGCTCTACAGATCGCGCGCGTCAAGCCGAGCAAGCAGCACCCTGCACATCCTCACCTTCAGTGAAGTGATTCTACCTTTCGTGCGCTTCTTTTGTTGGGGGCCACATCTTCCCTGCTGTAGGCCTGCGCACTGTAAGGTACACTTTCTGTGGCGTTCTGATGCACCGTTCAATCGCGATTCCGTGGACAATCCTCCATTTTCATCTATGCAGGCGTTTACCCGAGCTTCAGTGCCTGACCCACAAGACTAAGCGTCGGACTCGAAGATGTCCAAAGTAGCGGAAGTCCTCGACTGCGTATTCGT